ACATTTGTGATTTTAGTCATTATTAGTTAGAAACAAAGGCTCTGATCGGGTAAACAAAAAACAGATGTGGAAACAGGTTTCCATGCCCTCATATGCTGTATCAGATGTGCAAAAAGCTGGATGGGCTTGTGTGCTGAGGAGGGGGAAGAAATGTTAGGTCAAGCAACGAGGCTATTTGTCTATTTATTTATTTATATCATTTTATGCCCTCTTTCTAACCAGCAAATGTTAAAACATTTCAAACACTAAAAAGCATTCAAAATACGAATATAGAGGAAATATTTCAAACAATAAAATAAACATAACACTTAAAAATATAACCACATAAAAACACACAATCAGGGATAAGGGCTAATAAGAGTTTGTGGGGGTACCCTAAACCAAACAAAAAAGTCTTCAGCCACGACAGCAATACAGGGCCTCTTGCCTTTGTTTGTGGGGATGCCCGTTTAGCAGCCTGCACACTAGGCCAGGAGCAAATTGGCCCTTCAACATATCGGGGAAGTTCACAGAGGTCCACTGGCTGCTGGGAGTAAGCTGAGTAGTGCTGGCAGTGCCTATGGGGCCATTTAGTTTGGACCTAGCCAGTGGTGGTTAACAGTAGCTCCCCCATCACCTGCTGCCAACCAAGTCCAAACTGAGGAACGTGACAGGCACAAAGAATACTCCATTCCCTTCCCCCATGCAACCCCCTTTTCTCTAAAGATCAGACACTACCCACCCTAGTATGCAGTCAGGGCAGGCTCCTTTAGGGCAGTCTCCTTTAAACGTACAGATCTACCATAGTCATGTCTAGTTTGACCCCAGGTCCTTATGCAGCTGCAAACCCAAGTTTGCCTCTGAGAGCCTGATAAACAGGGAGCTACAGCCAGTCCCCCTTTCCTGTTAAGAGTATGTGTATGATACATGATTTACTAGTTGTTGCAGTGATACACTGTATCTTTATATACATTCACTTTAACAATTATGAATACACAGCACAAGACAGCCAAAGGTCAGTGAGATCACATCTAATTGATTTCATTGACAGCGTGAAAAGCATGTACTCAGATCCTTCCTGTTGAAGCCTGGTGTCCTCTTATGTGGAATTATGCCTTCTAAATCCATTGTAGAGTGTAACTCTGCTTACAGATTGCAGCACTTACATCTGGCCCATAATAGGTGATGCAGCCCTAAAGTATGCATTCCTTCCTGAAAGAAAGCCCTGTTGAATAAAATTGGACTTATTTCTGAGTAGTCCTGCTTAGGCATGCTCCATATGCCCCCAGAGAGTTTACACCATGTAATGAACAGATTTGCATTACTAAATTTAAGTGAATGTGAACCAGCAGAACTAATGGTTGAAACCAGGGGTATTATCAAGGAAGAATGTACAAAAACTAATCCTGTAGCCAAAAGAAATAAAAAGCCTTGATGGTTGACTGATGAAACTCTTGAAAATTGCTAAGGATAGATGAGAAGCAAAAGTAAAAGATGATGGAAATAGAATCAAAGTTTAAATGGAGAGTTACAGCAACTTCCATGTAGACAAAGCAAACTATTATAATAACCAGTGTACTATTATAATAACCAGTGTAAAGAAATAGAAGAGAACAACAAAAAAGACAGAACGAGTTACCTGTTCCACAAGATCCAAAATCAAAGGGAAATTTAAAGCATGATTAAACATACTGAAAGATCAACAGGAATCTGTCATTCTTTAATCTCTTCTGTATAGTTCTTCAGTGTCTTGTTCACATCTTTTCTTTATTTTGTTCTGTTCAGTTAATGTATTTCAACTGAACAGAACAAAATAAAGAAAAGATGCTAACAAGACACTGAAGAACTATACAGAAGAGATTAAAGAATGACAGATTCCTTCAAAGAAGACTCTTTTGAAGAAGAACCTATAGTTTTAGAAAGTGAATTGGAAGCTGCACTGAGAGCAACTGGGAGAAACAAATCACCAGGAGTAGATGCCATATCAATAGAGCTATTCCAAGCCACAGAAATGGATCCATCAAAATCTTAACAAGAATATGTCAACAAATATGGAAAACAAAACAATGGCCCACAGACTGGAAATACTCAAACTACATTCCAATTCTGAAAAAAATGAGACGTCAAAGGCTGCAGCAACTATTGGACCGTTGCATTAATTTCTCATGCAATCGAAATGATGCTCAAAATCGTACAATAAAGACTGTTACCATGCATGGAATGAGAGATGTCAGATGTTCAAACTGAATTCAGAAAAAGAAGAAGCAATAGAGATAATATTGTAAATCTATGTTGGGTACTGGAACATATGAGAGAATTTCAGAAGAAGATCAGTTTGTGTTTCATAGATCAGAGCATAGCTTTATGCTGTGTGAATCATGAAAAGCTATGGTAATGGAGGAGCTAGAAAAGATTCTTACATGTAAGGATGTGTCACTGGTGACCAAGATAATTCATACCATATTATTCCCCATTACTGTGGGTGTGAAAGTTGGACAATGAAGAAAACTGACAGGAAGAAAGTTGATTCATTTGAAATGTGGTGCTGGAGGAGAGTTTTACAGATAGCATGGACAGCCAAAAAGACAAATAAGTGTGTTCTAGATCAAATCAAGCCTGAATTCTCCCTAGAGGCTAAAATGACTGAACTGAGGCTATGTACTTATGGTCACATTATGAGAAGACAAGAGTCACTGGAAAAGACAATAATGCTAGGAAAATTTGAAGGCAACAGGAAAAGAGAAGACCCAACATGAGACGGATTGACTCAATCAAGGAAGCCATGGCCCTCAGTTTGCAAGACCTGAGCAAGGATGTTAAGATAGGGTGTTTTGGAGGTCATTAATTCATGGGGTTGCCATGAATCAGAAGCAACTTGACAGTACAACAGTTAACACATTAGATTCCTTTCTCACAGATGAGCTACATTAACAGAATTACAACAAAAGGAATGGAGACATCACTGATAAAGTAAAGGAAAATAATTATGGCATATTCATATTCTGGCATATTTTGAAATAAACATATTCATTTACATTAATACGATCTCGTCATTACCGTGGGCAAACAACACTGCATCAACAGTCTGTTCAAAAAAATAAATTGCGAAACACTACATACCTGTATTAATATTGATCCATAACCTGTTTGACAGTCTGCTACAGCTGTTCTGTGCAAGCCCAAACAAGCAGATTGAGGCAGCACTTCTACAAATGCCCATTCTTAGATTCTGACAAGTCTGATTGGAAGCGAGGGCCATGGGTGTGAGGCAATCACTTAGAGTGGCTTTGACTGTTACAAACAAGCAGTGACAGAGCAAGTACGGGTGATTTCCACTTCCTGTTTTCACATTCCCTGTGTCTTTTACAGTATTTAGGTTATCTTATACCTGTGCTGAGAACTCTGTAGATCAAAGGGGACAAAAAGAGGGGTCAAGATCAATGCTCCCTCTAAGCTATGGAGTCTCGTGAGCAAAAATTCTGCTTGGTGAGCTACCGGCATTAAAGTTGTGAGCCAGCAATTTGGCTGCTGCATAAATGAGTTTGCTCTGGAGCCCTCCTTCCTGAGCTGAGACAAAAATGTGTGAGCCGGAGGCTAAAAAACTGTGAGCTAGCTCACACTAACTCAGCTTAGAGGGAACACTGGTCAAGATATGGGACCAGACATAAAGATGATAAGTGGGTGAGAAACTTCCTCCCCTTTCTCATTTCTTTGCCCTTAATGCTTATGCCCTCTACATCTCATCACAGCCTCCCACCATTTTCTCTCCCCCTGACAAGATCCTACATTTGTCCTACTCAGTAGGACAATCTGTGATTTGTCACTGCCTCACACAACTTTGGTGCACATGTTGTAGTATGAACTCAGAAATTAACATGTGACACTTTAGTTTTTGTGAGAATACATGAGGCAGATTAGAAGGAATCAGAGGAAGCAGCCTTTTTTCTAAGGCGGAGATGTGTGTTTCCGTACATGTCTCAACATAAATCTTAATGCAGTTCTTAAATTCCTTTGTGCCACAAATGGATCATATCCCACAGGAGTCATTGTGTGTGTGTGTGTGTGTGTTAGTGGCATAAACATTTGTAGGCCACAGCTGATGTTCTCAGATGCTCACCTGGGAGGCTGTTTCTAGACTGTGGGTGAGAAACAATACACTGGTCTGGAAATTAAACATTTAATTAGTGGGCTTTCCCACAAACTACCTCAGGATGCTTTTTAAAGGAATAGGAATGGAAATGGAAACGTATATTCCGTTGTCAAAGTCTTAACAAGCTGTCATCCTTCTGGGTTGCCACCTCACTCTACCTAATGTTAGGGCTAGCCCTGTGTATAAAAAATACCTGTTCATTGACTTTAGTACTCCAAGAAAGATTTAAGTGATTTTATCAGAAGCTGAATAGGAACCTGTTGGCACGACGCATTTCTTTTACAGAGTACAAGGCGGAGGATTCCTGCCTGAAGAGTTTAGGGTCTAAAATTTGACACAAGGGAAATAACAGAGATGGGAGTCAGGTGGAAGTGGGAGAATGAGCATGGTCACAATCCTATGCACGCTTACACGGAAGTAAACGATAGAACTCAATGGGACTTACTTCAGAGTAGACCTGCTTAGCCTCCATTGGTGTCTCACCCACTTTCCGTAGGCCTTACTGTTGGCGTTGGTTGGAGACAGCACGGCTGCAGCAGTAGAAGTCCCAGCCTGGGATCTTGTTTTAAACGAATATTTTAAATGTGTTTTTAAATAGTTGCAGTGAGTTATACATAGCAAGAACGAACGAGGAGTGGAAAAACGGATGGTGGTATCTTTAACCCACAAAGGTTGGAGCAGATTTTGTTCTGAGCTAGTTAACAATGGAAACTTTTTTTAAGTGTTTCCCTCCAGCGGTCCTGCCAAGCGATAGAGAAGAGAAAAAAAAAAGAAAAAAAAGAAAAAAAACTTGTTCCGCTGAGTTCAACCCCAGACAGGCTCACAACTTCCTTCCTGCTTTCCGACCCACTCCCCTCCCTGCTCGCTCGCTCGCTCTCTTTTTCCCCTCCTGCACACTCAACAAAACACCACGCTGAGTGGCAAAGGGTGGCGTTGGAAAAGAAAAGCAATTAAGCAAGCGGCACATCAGTGAACAAAACAAAGTTCCCGATTCAGCCACCTAAATAATTCACTTAAAACAAACAAACAAACTCATTACACCGTAAAGAGGGAAAGAAAGCAAACACCTCCGAAGCCTTGATCTGGACGAGGAAATAATTTCTGGAGTATTTTTAAGTCCGAGCGTCTTGATGCCTCCGCTTTCCCCCGAGGAGATGTGAACTGGGAGGGTGCATCAGTCTCCATAGAACAGGTAAGGCCGACCTGTATGATTCTGCTCTGCGTCTTTTCTCCTCTTTTCTTCTTCCCCCTCCCTTACGGGGATCGCTCTTTCCTGGGATGGTGTCAGTGTACACTGAGACTGGGCTCGGTCGTGGGTGGCACAAATTTCCCAATAACGGAGTCTTATGTGCCCCTTCAAGACTCAGGGACGTATTGTGCCATCCGTTGCGATGAGCCAGAGCCCACTTCCCCTGATGCATGAAGTGTAGCTTGTGCCACAAAACCTTTGGTAGCCCATGACAAGTGTCCCAAGACTCTGTGTTGTTTTGACTGCAGCAGACTTAGCAATGCTACCCTTCCGAAAGTTTCACAATGTATATTTCTCAAGTTTCACTCTGCAGTTTCTACAAAACTCCTCTCCGCTCTGGTGAAGAGCTGGCGACTCTTGCGTTACAGTTCAAGTTGGGTTCAGCTGCACATTAGTTTGGCAGGGGGCGTCTGAAACAAGCTCCCGTTGGGGGCAAGATCCACTGAAGGCTGGGCTCGGGAGAGAAAAACGGGGGTGGGGGGAGAGATTCCAGGGGAAATAGTGGGTTTCCCTACGCAGAGAGGCGGTGCAGCCGCTAAGTTTTGTGGCGTTGTTAGAGATCTACAGTGATACTGATGGGCTTAAGCACTTCCAAGTTTTGGTAGAAGCAGCCGTCAGCTGTTTGCCCAGGATCGTGAGGGAAAGACATTCATCAAGGGGCTTTTAGTTTGTACATAAACACAGATGGCCGTTTCCAGCCTGCTTACAAAATATCTAACACACATCGCCTCCGTCCACATCTGGAGACACTAAAAGTTTCCATAAAATGAGTTCTAATCTTAATGGGCCATGCAGGTACCACCACCAAGACAGCCAGCTTGCATTAAGTCACTCATGCTGCTACTACACAGAAACAGCAGGCAGGGTTCATAGAGGGATTTGAGTGCAGTACTTTTGTGTATAGCAGCAATCCATGCTGGAATTCTAACAGACATTACATATCAAGACACATAGCTTGTCCTTGTAGAAAGATATGCAAATCCATAAAACAATAACAATAGACACAAATTTAAAGTGAATGTATTTATTATGTCCTTTATACTTCACTTTTCTCCCCAATGGAGACCTGAAGTCGCCTATGTCATTCTTTCCTCCATTTTAATCCTCACAGCAATCCTGTGAGGTAGGTTAGGCTGAGAGAGTGTATGTGGCCCAAGGTCACCTGGCAAGATTCTGGACTGGAGATTTGAACCTGGGTCTCCCAAATCCTGGTTGCCTGATTGCCAGAAATATGCACAAAGAGAGCCAGTGTGGTCTAGTGGTTAAGAGTGTCGGACCAACATCTGGGAGACCCGGGTTCAAATCCCCACTCATGCCAGGGAAGCTTGATGGGTGACTTTGGGCCAGCCACACACTCTCAGCCTAACCTGCCTCACAGAGTTGCTGTGAGGATAACATGGAGGAGATGAGAATGACGTAGGCCACTTTGGGTACCTATTGGGGAGAAATTGGTTTTGTTTTGTTTTTACAAATTAAATAAACAAACAACGTGTGCCATATTCAACATGTGCAAACTCCTTATATTTCACAGGCATAATTAATAGTTCTCTAAGAGATAATAGGCAGTAACACAGGAGACTAGAAGAGAGATGGATGTACAATGCACCCCCAAACAACAGGCAACACAAGCCTATTCTTGATTAGGATCTACCCATACCTCTACAAATTCAATTGTGTGGTTACATGAGGATAGTCCAGTAGTGTACTAAAACATATTGTATTTGCAAAAATCCTGAACCCAATAGCCAGCTCACAGGATGGACTTTTAGGAGAATTTGGAACAACAACATAAACTTTGCTTCCTCTGCTAGAATGGGCTTAGGATATAGAAACCATTTCTATTAAAATCTTACACTGTAAGCTGCCTTGAGTGTCATATTGTACAAAGGCAGATAATAACTGTTTAAAATAAATAATTTTTTAAATTACAGCATTAGTACAAATTCATCTGAATATTCCACAGGCGTAGACATGTAAAAGCTGTTGTACAAAAACAACAAAGGCATTTTGGCACCATAATGGCTGACAAATTTATTGTGGCATAAAGTTTCGTAAGCCAGAAGCCACTTCCATAATTACATGAAGTGGTAAAGTTAGTGTGTGTGTGTGTTTTTGTGTGTGTGTGTGTGTGGGAGGGGATTTTCATGTATGTGATCGACAGTGATATCCTAAGCAGAGATAAACTCTTCTAAGTTCACTAAAGTCAATCCACTTAGAGAGACGTAATTCTGCTCAGGATAGCGCTGTCAATGTAATCTTAAATTAATTGTTGCTTTCATTGCTTTCTTTTACTAATACTATTCAGAACTGCTTCTGAATTATTGCTGAAAACATATTGCATGTTGATAATGTCACTGGCACACACACACAAATATATATATGTATGTATTAAACCTTTAGTCTGTACTGTAATACCACAAATGTCAGACCACACTTTTTGAACCAGATGACTATCTGGTCACTCATCCACATCAATTGGAATTCTTGCTGCTGCTATAGATGCCTATCAAAAGGCAGTCTTTTACTATTCCTTAGGCTCCTGGTTTTGAGTACAAAATGAAGAACATTAACTATTCTATGTTAAATAACCTTGAGCTGGGGCATTGCCAAAATAAGTACACAGAGTAACAATGCACGAAGCTTCTACATGCTTCTCTACTATTCATAGCAATCATTGTCATTTCATGCTATCTACTCTTACTTTGGACAAGAGGGATCTGGACAAAGTATATCTGATATTAGAAAACATATGCATGTTGTATAGGCCAATACTGCACATATTTACTCAGAAATACATCACATTAAATTGTGTGTGCTTTGCTCCCAAATAAGTGGGAAAGAGACTGAAGCCATAGATAGCTGGGCCAGATGCCAGATGCCCACCTAGCAATTTCAAAATTCACAGACTCGATTGAATACATTGTAAACAGTGGCATGGATAGGTTGGGTCATTTGTGATCTTAAGCAGAGTTGCATCCTTCTAAATCCTTTGAAATCCAAGGAAACATAGACGGTTGTAACTCAGTTTAAGAAGGCAGTCACAAACAATTCCACGCATGCAGGTGGGCACACAGAGAAAGATAATACACAATATTGGCCACAATATAAAAATGATTAAATTCACAGAAAGCAAGGGGTATGAATGTCAGGTACAGGATAGAACACAAATGCATATAAGATAGAAAGTGCTCAAACTCTTTTTTAAAAAGAGGTAGTTGCAAAGAGGTAGTAGCAAGGAGGGGTTGCAAACTTACCAAGCTACTTGTATCGATTCATGCATACATATATGTTGACCGTTTCCCCTACCTTGAGTACAAAGAAGCATTAATTATATAGCTATGCTTTCCTTAGCCTTGCCATACTTCTCATATTTATAGCTGTAAATCTGTTGCTGGCAGGAAAGAACTTTCTCATGCAACTTTGTTCACGCTCAGACTCAGAGTCTCATTTAAACTGTTCGGTTGTTCATGCAATTCTGCCACATGTGTAACACTTGCATGCCAGCATAACGACCACCCAGGCTGCAGATTTTCTGGCATGCTGATACTGTATAGCAATATTTTATAGTGGCTGGGGGACTCACTGCCAGTGTGTCATAGCAACTGGACTAGGATCTGGGAGACCCAGGTTCAAATCCTTACTCTGCCATGGAAGCTTGTTGGGTGACCTTGGGCCAGTCACACACTCTCAACCTAACTAACCTCACAGGGTTGTTGTGAGGATAAAATGGAAGATAATTATGTAAACCACTTTGGGGGCCTATTGGAGAGAAGTAAAAACAAAAGTTTTATGAGATACTGGACATGTACAGTTTTGCACAGAGAAGTCCTTCTTCCCTAGCAGTGTCATGTTTCCATTTATAGGACAAAGGATCAATGGATATGATTGATGAATGTGATTTTTTATATTTTTCTTGACATGTAGAATGACAGCTGTCACTATGCCTTATTAGGAGTCTGATTATAAGTAAATCTAGACCTTAGCACTTAACCCAGGTAGAAGAGAGAATAGAGCTAATGAGAGTATTTTTATTAAATTTCACTTTGCAATAGCCACTTGCATGATTAGCCCCACTGGACTGGCAATTCTGCCAGCTTGTCTTCCCACAGTCTCTCAAAGCACTTAAGCCTAAGGCTTCTATCCTCCCATCCCCCAAACCATCACTCCTTCTTCCTTACAGAAAGCTTCCCCTCCCCATACATTTTACATTTCTTCAGCTCCATGACCACTCCGGTGTAGTGGTTAAGAGAGCAGACTCTAATCTGGCTTGATTCCCCAGTCCTCCACATGCAGCTGCTGGTGTAACCTTGGGTCAGTCACAAGTTCTGTCAGAGCTGTACTCTCAAGAACAGTCCTTGAAAGAGCTCTCTCAGCCCCACTTACCGCACAGGGTGTCTGTTGTGGGGAGGGGAAGGAAAAAGAGATTGTAAACTGCACTGAGACTTCGAGTGAAGGGCAGGGTATAAATCCAATCTCTCCTCCTCCTCCACTCCCCCCAAGGGGCTTTTGCCTTCATCCTTTACTTTTTTCAGCCTTATGGGTAGATTTCCAGGCTCAGCCTTGTTCCCCACCATCTGCCATTTTCTTGAGAACAGTGACCTGGGTTAGAGGTGTCACCATCACTCCTTGAATCCCCACAAGTGAGTCTAGAGTGAGTCTCCTCAACCTCATGGCTGGAGCTCATAACTTCCCCCAACGTACTTCTTAGTTGCATGAAGTTGCTTTATACTGAGCCAGGCTATTGGTCTACCTAGGTCAGTATTGTCTACTCTGATTGGAAGGAGATCGCCAAGGCCTCAGGCTAGAGGTCTTTCACATCGGCTGCGACCTGATCCTTTTAACTGGAAGCTTCAGGGACTGAACCCTGGGATTTTCTGCATCTAAAGCAATGTGTTATTTATTTAGATATCTGTGCCGCACTTGTTCTCCCAATGGAGATTCAGTGCTGTTTACAATATCATTTTCCTCACCTCCATTTTATCCCCATAACAACAACACTGTGAGCAGGCCCGTAGCTACAGCGAGGCATCTCGGCGCCTGGCCCCCTGACTCTACTGCGCCGCCCCCCACGCTTCCCATCCAGCCCAGGCACTCCCTTGGGGGGGGTGCCCCTTGACTTGTTTAAAGGCCCCCCAAATTAAAAAAATCCTGGCTACAGGCTTGGCTGTGAGATAGGTTAGTCTGAGAGAGAGTGACAGGGCCAACACTCTTTAACCCAGAGGTGTCAAACTAATTTGTTATATGGGCTGGATCTGATATAAATGTCAGTTTGTCGGGCTGGGTCATGTGTGCCATAAAACGTAATGCCAGGTACTGGAGATATAAACTTTATAAAGGACACAGGCAAACCCAGTTAACAATACTAGTTTATACTCAAAAACATGCTTAACATATTAATACTCTTGCATCCTTATACTATCTCCCTGATGCCTGCCCTCCCACTTTCACTGCCCGTTACATATTAACACTGGGGGGACATAATGCACAGGCCCGTAGCCAGTATTTTGTGGCTTGTGGGGCTGGTGCTGCCATTATTTGCCATAAAGTAGGGGGGTGCCCACCCCTCCCCCTCCCCCTCCTGCAAGATTTAAAGGGCCCTTCAGCTGATCAGCGGGGAGCATGTGGCCCGCCAATCAGCTGGAGGCCCTTTAAATGTTGCAGGAAGGAGGGAGAGGGGTGCATGCCACCCTCCCGCTTCTTCTCAAAATAAGAAGCTGGGGGTCCTTTAAGAAGCAGGTGCCTTTCAAGGAAGGGGGCTGGCCATTTAAGGAACAGGGCAGATCCTCCAATAACCTTACTGTAGCTACAGGCCAGTGCACAGGGACATAATGCACGGACATAATGCACAACTTCTGTCATCTGGCAATAAAGGCAGTGACCAGTTCCTCACAGGCCAGATAAGAGCCCTGGACTGCAATCACATACACTAAATAATCCACTTTCAATCCACTTGTCGAGCACTTTCCAACTGGATTTTTACTGTGTGAACTGGCAAAATCCAATTCAAAAGTGCATTGAAAATGGATTGAAATTGGATTATTTAGAGTGTGTGATCACAGCCCTGGACAGGCTGGTTCTGGCCCACGGGTCTTATGTTTGACACCCCTGCTCTAACCACTAAATTAATTAATTATTGCATGGCAGTGGGTGTAGTATAGCCAGGAGATACGAAGGTTGTCTGGCAGCCTGAAACTCTAGCTCTTTTTGTGGCAAGCTTATTTTTTGGGCAGAGAGAGCTGTGACTGACCCAAGTTTACCCAGCTGGCTTCAAGTGGAGGAGTGGGGAATCAAACCTAGTTCTCTAGATTAGAGTCCACTGCTCTTAACCGCTATTAGGTCTTACTCTAACCACTACACTTGATGGTTTTGCCGCAGGCATTATTTCTAGACATGGTGGCTGATTACCATTACTGAGAGGTTCACAGCACTTCCACAGAGCCCTTCCTCTTATTCCTCTCTATTTTTAACTAAACAGAGCGTTGAAAACAAGCTTGACATGTGGTTCCCTGCTAGTATTTTGGCAACCTGTAGTGGGTTTCTCTTCAGCCAGCATCACTCCTCAGGTCCCTCCCTGACTTGAAAGGTGGAAGGGCTCAGACCTTTTTTTAGAAATCATATTATTTCAGTCGGCTAGTGACCACCTTTACTTTTACAGAAAATAACCGTACGGTTTAAGGTGCCTTATCATGTTCTCAGGATGAGCCCTGACAGTTAAAAGCAGAGGCCAGAGTCTCTTGAGCTGATACAACTGTTAGCCTGATTTTCCTAGCCTCAGTAAAACGAGTGTTTACCGTTTAAAAGAAAGTGCTCCACGTTATAGTGAAGGTCCGTAATAAAGCGATAGAGAGATGGGTAAACGATGGCTGGATTGTTTGCACTTGATTGTTTCTGAAGGAGGCTCGATAACGATATCTCAGCCGACTGGCATGGAATGAAATCTGAAGTTTTGCTTGCTGTTCTGGTATTTAAAACTCCATAAGCGGCCGTAGTTAAGCCCAGGTCTAAACACTCTGGCGAGCGGTCGGGGTTCAAGCACAGCCCAGCTCGCGGCTAAGCTTCCCTTCTCCGCCCGCCCCCCCCCACGCTAGCCGTGGAGCGCGAGCTTCGCCGCCATTGGCCAAGCTCCGAGACCCGGCAGCGAATGAGCGCGCCCGGCTGGAGCCGTCTCGCTTTTCCCGCGCTCATTGTCCTCTGTCTCCTTCTGCTCTCTCCACAGTTGTTTATGGAGCTGCGGGCCGGGGCCAGCTTATCATCCCTGCGCGTCTGGTGCTCCCCAGGCGATGCCGCCACCGCGGTCGCCGCTGGCCCTGAGACGACGTGGGCTGCTCGGCAGAGGCTGACCTCGGAGAAGGAGGAGGAGGAAGCGGAGCCTGTCCCCCGGCGGCCGGACCCATTACTATGGCCGTGTCCTGCTACGCGCTCAACAGCCTAGTGATTATGAAGAGCGGCGAAGAAGAGGAGGAGAAGCGCGGCGGCGGCGGCAGGAGCAAGACGCCTCCCCTGACGCGTAGGCAGGTGCTGCCTGGCTTGGTCCGGGGGAGCGAGAGGCACAGCAGCTACTGCCCGCTGCCCAGGCGCAGCGTCGGCTCCAGCAGCAGCAGTAGCAGCAGCCCCAGCAGCAGTAGCAGCGCCGCCGCCGCCGCCGGGTCGGCTTTCCTTTTCCCTTCGGCGGAGCAGCCTGAGGCGGCCGAAGACGCGGCGGGCGCTCGCGGGACCCCTCGACGGCTGAGCAGCCCGAGCTGGGCGAACCGCTTAGGGCAAGGGCCGCAAGCCAGGCCCCCCAGCCGGTCCCCCTCCCCTGGCTCCGCACGGATCCTCCAGCGGGAGCTGCAGAACGTGCAGGTGACCCAGAAAGTGGGGCTCTTTGAGGCGCATATCCAGGCGCAGAGCTCTGGGGCTGCCACCCTCCTTAAAAGCCCCCGTCCGAGTAGGAGGAGGTCCCCTTCACCGAGCCCACCCTGGCTAGCCCAGCTACCGGTCGGCATCCCAGCCAGGGGGACCAGGAAGCGGGAGGATGAGGAAGGGAAGATGAAAGGTCCAGGGAGTCCCTTGTCCCCTTTGGAGACCAAGGGGAGGACATTGGAGGAGGAGTGGGACCAGGGTGCCACGGACAAGACAGAGGAAAGCAGCCGCTCTCCTGGTGCGCCTGGCACAACAGAGATGGAAAACGGGCTCTCCAGTACGCAGCGCCCAGAGGAGGTGGAGATGGGCAGCAGCAGGCTCTCCAGAGTGCAGGATTCAAAAGAGGTGGAGAAGGGGAGCAGATCGTCCCAGGCGCCCCTTTCAGATGAGGCAGAAGAGGATGTATTTTCCAAGAGGCACTGTTGGGATGAGATGGAGAGGGCAAAGGGAATATCCAAGGTGGAGGATTCGGGAAAGGCAAGAAGGATGGGGTCTAGCGGGAGGCAGGACTTGGCGGAGAACAAGAGCTCATCCCTTGAGGGGCAGAACTCCAAAGTGCTGGATCTGGCAAGTGGGTGCCCGGGAGCTCAGGTGTCAGGAGGGACAGGCAGCGGGAGGCAGCCAAGAGAAGGTGGTGGGAGGCATTCTGGGGGGCTTGATGGGGCAGAAAGATCCTTCAAGGATCCCGGCTTCTCGGAAGCGCAGCAGGGGAGGAGCAGCTTTGACAGAGGGCAGGGCTCAGAGACTAGGGAGCTGCCTCTTGGAGAGCAGCTCCAGGAGGCAGGCATCCCACCTTGTCCTGCCAGGACTGATGAAAAGGAGGACAACAGCAGCAGGAGTCTGTTGGTTTTGGCAGATTCTCGAAAGAAGCCGCTGCCGTCACCCTCTGAGCCACTTTCCGAACTTATGGCAGAAGTCACTGGAGATGGCCTGCAAGGGAAGCAACCTGGTGAGCAGTTGCCACCATCTACAGAAGCAGGAGAGCAACAGTGGAAATCCCTGGGAGAAGGGGAGGGCTGCTGTAGAGGAAGCAGCAGCATCCCTGCAGTCATCGTTACTGACCTAGGCACTGAGGAGGAGGGAGAGGCAGGAGAGAGCCCCCCCAAAAATATGTCCATCAGAAAACTATCTTCTTCTTCTGCTTCTTCCACGGGCTTTTCCTCATCCTGGGAAGAGTCGGAGGAGGACATTTCCAGCGATCCAGAGCGATCCTTGGATCAAAGTCCAGCCTTTCTGCAGACCCTGGATAAGCCAAGGGTGGTAAGTTTGAACAAAGTAGATCTTAGACAATAACAGGTTTCTGAATGGGTTGCTGAAACTTCCATCTCCCTTCCCACCCCATACACACATTTAAGTTGGAAATTCTCTTAATAGGAAACATTTTCAGTTTAATGCTGATTCTGTGTTGCTGCTTAGCACCAAGACTTTTCATAAATACTGTGTTAACTTCTCCTGTGTTCTGGCTTGTTCAACTGAGGTTCATCCTGTTAACGGGGAAAGGTTGAATCTTTATGTGAATGGTGTTATTGTAGCTGAGTTTGTGCTGTCATACTGGAGATTTACACAGAACTGGGTGAGAAGGATCTGAAACCTATTAGGAGAGAATGTGGAATGGATGGCTGAGAACACCTCATATTGAGGGTGACTGTAGAGAGGACCATGTGATGGACTCTGAGGTCATTCACCACCCTTTCTCACTGCAATAGGGCTTCTTGCTAATAGTGTAGAAGCCTTGACAGCTATCACATATCAGGGTGGTATTTATGGTTCTCCTTTCCCATTTTATTCTCACAATAAGCCCATGAAAAAAAATGATAACATCAAGTCACCCAATGAAGATTTGAACCTGGTTTCTAGTTCAGCATTAGCCACCACATCACTCTGGCACACATCTGGGCAGATTGAGTTTAATGAAGGATATGTAATTCCTTGATCTGAATTGTTTCTGTTTAGAAATTCATGTTTTCTGTATGAGCATGCTCACTAACTAGTCAGTTGCAAACCAATTGTTATAGCAACCAGAGCAATTATACGATCTGCATGTATGAAATCCAAAAGCTCTGGACATGCAGCTTGTACACATTGCAGACTGCTTAGAGACAAGAGACTGATTTCTGTGTGTCTCTTTCAGTATGTACTCAAGGACACTAAGCAAGTTAACTAACTTGAAGGTTAAGGCTGCAATCCTGTATGCATTTATTTGGCAGTTAAGTGTCATGAAACCAGGTGGATCTTACTTTTGAATAAACACTCATAGAATTGGTCTGTAAGTTTTCAGAACTTTTAATAAAAAGGCTGGTAGTTACTGGACAGCACAGTGTTCTTCAATCGGATAGAAAGGTAAGTTTCCATGTGACTAGGTTAACATAGTCAAAGATAGTCACTATGTGGTAAATGAAGGCACGGATACTTGGATGGCATAAAATAGTACAGGCTCTGTGGATGAACCTGGTGATAAGCAGGTTGGCATCTCCTGAATACTATCTTCTTTGATGATCTGGTCCAATATGAAAGTCACATGATATAAATACATGGTTTATTTTTATAGTCAAAAGTTATTTCCTGCCATACTGGTCCACAAGGGAGAACATAATACAATGGTATATCAATATGATAATCTAGTGCCAGTTTGTTTGTTTTTAAAGTCCCTTATGGCAGGGAGACGAAATGGCTGATTCAGGGACAGTGGCAGGGAAAATGGCTGCCATGTGCATGGGAAACCCTGCATTTCCCCACCCATTTATGCTTTGCTGCAGTTTTCTCCAAAACTTTGGAGCAAAGCAGGTTTGAGAAAGAGTGGGGGGGGGGGTGGACAGGGAAGTGCCAGAAGATGTGTGAATGCAGCACAATGCAGTGGATAAGCTTTGAAAAACCCCACTTCCCAGCAGCACTGAACCTGGGGCAAATCACCCTTGTGGAAATGGCCTCAGTTATAAGAGCTTCTAAGTATACAGTTATCAATGTTTGTTTGTCCAAAATTTAAACCAGTTTAAGCCACTTATTATAACTAGCATTTTATAAATAAACTTATAAATTAAATGTATTTTTAATTATTGCTTTTAATGGACCAATTTCAGCAATGTTAATTGGACCAGTTTGGACAGTCCAAGTTCATGTTAATCCTGCCACATAGTGACTGCAGCTGTTGTCTGCCATGGCAGACATGGGAAAGAGAGGAAAATACATTGTTTGCATCCTCTGTAATGGTTTCTAAATTCCTGTGGTCCAAACAGGTGTTCAGCCCAGTTCTGCATGAATTTCCCCCATAAAATGATGGTACAAAGTCATTTCATGGTAGGAGGAATTCCAGGGGACTAGTTAAGGCAAGGAAAGCTACAGCTGTTACGTTCATCATGGATAACTGGGGAAAACTTATTCTAATTTGCCTTTCATCTTAAAGGAAAACAAAACAATCCCACACTGACTGGTGTGCTTCATTGCTGAGACCTCTTCAGCTGTTATTAATCAGGAATGCTTCATGCTTTTATTCTCAAATAAAAGCCTGAGTTATTGCCAGGCGCTCTCCCTGTCTGAATTGATTGTGACTTGACTTCTGTTTTACTGATGATGTGATTTTAAGAGCAGTTTCATCTAGACTTTTAAACAAGTATCTGCCAGGAAGAAACTAAAGCTTTTGACACAAATTTCTGATCAGATTTAATCCCCATTCTCATATGTGTCCTTTAGTCAGAACTCCATGTGATTGACCATTAACATTTTAGCTAACATATCCTTCAGACCAGAGTTGTCCAAATTGTGGTTTCCAAGTCACATATGGCCGCTTCTACTGATAAAGTGTGAAGGTCCAGAGTTACTGCCACACACGTGTGTGTGTGTGTGTGTGTGTAGTAAAGTGTGAAGTTCCAGAGTTACTGCCCCACACGTGTGTGTGTGTGTGTGTATGTGGGGGTGCCTTACATAAAACAGACACATGGAAATCCAAAGTCTCTTTGATTATTTTAAAGTAACACATTAACCACTAAACTAGAAGGTCGTGTAAAGAATGATCGGTCTCCAGTGATCATTCTGAAAAGATACCAGTCTTCTTTTTTTTTAAAAAAGTCTTTTTATTGGTTTTTAACAATAAAACAGATTTCAATAACTTTACATACAAAGTGTCATATATGATTACCGCAAGTATTGTCTTAATAATAAAAAACTAATGTTATTACATATGAACAAGATAACGAGTTCAGCTAGCATAATAACAGTTGCGTGGAATATTTAACTAGAATCAGTAGCTAGATGACTGTGGACAAGAGTTTCTCTTATTCATGCAGAACCAATTTGCAATTTGCACTTTAATATATGTAGGAATTTTGTGTGTAATGAAATGGAACCAGTTATTGGCTTAGTATGCTCAGATATATGTGATTGTGTGGTCGCAGATCTGAGGCGAATAGATATTCCATGAAAGGTAGCCATTTTTCCGCAAAAGTAGACGGCTTAGGATAAAGTTCTGAATGACGAAGACGGTCTGTTATTTTTCCCATTATCAATTGATCCCAAACTTTATTCAGCCAACATGAGCAAGTTGGGGCCTTTTCTGCTTTCCATTTGGATGCAATTGCCGTTTTAGCTGCCACTATGAGACTGGTGATTAGTTCACGATGGAGGGATGATATGTCTTTTGGATTCCATAAGTCTAAAAACAGAATTGCCGGCTCAAATGGTGTGTCATGTCCAGTGATTAGTTTGATCTGATTTAATACATCTTGCCAGAACTGTTGAATGTGGTCACACTGCCACCAGGAGTGAGCAAATTTTCCTAAGATACCAGTCTTCTGATTAGAAAGAGGTCAGAAGTTTATTCCAGGTTTGAGTAAAAAGTTTGTATCTCAGCCAATGTCATTCAATGTTGTTGCTTAAGAACTTTATTTAAAATCACTCTAGTTACACTTGAACAGATTAAATAAACCAAAATCACAATTATGCAGAAAACAATAGCATATGTAAATGAGATGCAGGTGGGAGTCCCTTTGGTCTGAAGCAGCAGAACAAAAGTTTGAGTCCAGTAGCACTTTTAAGACCAACAAAGTTTAATTCTGGGTATAAGCTTTCGTGTGGATGCACACTTCTTCAGATATCTTCTTCACACTGAAGATGCTTGCACACGAAAGCTTATATCCAGAATTAAACTTTGTTGGTCCTAAATGTACCACTGAATTCCAACTTTGTTCTGTGTAAATGAGAGTAGATAAAAAGCATATGTCATGCCTTCTCCTACCTAGCCTGCATTTAAAAATAAAATGCAATTTCTAAAATTCTTTCCAAGCCTTTTCAGAAAAGAAAAGATAGTCTTACTGTAACCAAGGTTCAGGGTTTTTAGAGTCTGGCAATCTTATATAGCCACAACTGCATGAGTCTCACATTACTTTTTTAAGCCATCTAATTTGTTTTCCTAAAGACATGATGTTAGACATCTTGGGCTGCCAAGTGGGGGCGGGTAAACCCCTGCTTTGGAGGCCCGATTTCCGCCGCTGCGGAATCGGGCCCCGGGGGGAAACACTATGGTTTCCCCTTGGATGGTCGTGGCCCCGCCCCCAGCGTGCCCGGCGTCATAACATCACTTCCCAGTGATGTGCATGTGGGGTGCGCGCGCGCTCTGGGATCCACCCGGGAGTCCCCCGCTCCAGAGGTGAGTACTACTTGGCAACCCTATAGACATCTCTGTGCATTCCAAAGAATAATTGTTGCAAACTTTGTTTCATTTGCTGTGGGATTTATTCTGTATGCAAAGCCATTCATTTATCAGTTATCCTCCTCAAGGCTGAAGCTTGAAGTTTACTGGAACAGTGAAGAAATGCATGTTTGCAGATTTACACAAGAACCTAAAAGCAAATTCTCAGGCCTACTCTATCAAAACATCCTAAAAAGTGATTTAAAGTTAAAATGTGCAACAGTGGCTCACAGGCCAATTCCCACAGCATTCAGGCGTCTGGTTATCTTTTTGCCCACAAGTGATAGGTTATTTTCCTCTCCTTGTTAAAGCTGTCATTGACTGTTGTGCTTTATCCTCTGACACCTAGCTCCCACCTGCAGAACAAGACCTGAAGAAATTTCCCTGTGTCACTTGTGAACATATCACCCACTTTTAAAAAAGTTTGTAAGCTTTTGGGAGGGGGGCAAGTGAATGTCTTAGCCATTCTCAGACTTCTGAAGATTGTTGTATGTGGCTTGAAAGGTCACCAGTGTCCCGTGGAGCCACTGTTGGCACCATTATGAAATCACATTACTTATGTGGCTGCACAGTTTTTTGT